TGAGGGCCCTGCTCCCAGAAGCCTTCTGCTGAAACGCAACCAAGCAAAACATCCTCTATTTATTTTAAGAATGATATTAAATCCGCCAAACTGAATGTCTACCAGCATTTTGCTACATGTTTTCCATTCAAACTCCAACATGACTGGCTTTTAACAGTAAATTTAAGGAGGCAAATTACTAACTTATTCACTGTACCATGGAAAATTGTTTTAATAAATATTGTAGTCTTTATACCAAAACACAATATGGAAATATGACCTATTTCCTGGTCCCTTAATAAGCACATCAGTTATTACATACGAATAGTAACCATTTATTTATGTAGGGTGGGAAACTTGTTATCATATGTAGTAATGACTGCCTATAGGATGTTTTTTTAAAAAATTATTATTCTTAATGAAACCTTGGGGCAGCATTTCTTGAAACTAATCATGATAACAAAGGCAGCGGTAGATTTTTAAGAAAAGAGAATGGAATGATAGAGGTACTTTAAGAAAAATATGACATATCAGGTTTTCTATTTTTAAATCGACTGATTTTTCAGAGTGGCAACAGTTGCTTTTTGTACCTTCTGCCAAAACTATGTAAATCATTGGGCTTTGAAACATATGCTTCATCTCAGCGAAATGCTACTTTGCTTTCTCACACTGTAAAATGGACTTCTATTGACATGAAGCATCCTAGAAAACCCACGTTGTGTCCTCTTCAACCTTTTTTCCCCTAAGCCATGGGCAAAACCAATCTTGTCAGCACCTCCCAATACATGTAAGAGGATCTGGAAATTTGCTGTGTGTTTTCCAGGTTTCGTGACAGCTGAGTTCACAGTTTTTAAATTCTTCAGAAACAGTGAATCTCTCATGGAAGAAAGAAGGGAATTAGCATTTATTGAGTGCTTACTACGTGCCAGGCACTGTGCTAGGCATTTTATATCCATTCCTCATTTATTTTAACAAATAATGTTCCGGTTTATCTGTATTAATCCTGTTTTTTTTTAAAACTATGTTGCCCCACCCTGTCTCTCCCACTATTTATTCTGGAATCTGCCTCATTTCTCCAGCACCATGAAAGTTATCACTACACCACGGGTGGAGGAGCACAGGACATTAATGTGTCATGGCTGGGACACTATTTTGGAGCAAGGTGATACCCAAGGAAGTCAATAAATCCAGAAAGATATGTGATATATTGAAATGATATAGTCAATATAGAATAGACATAATCGCTATATAATATCCGATTATTCACAAACAGATCTGCAAGTTAGTGTGCAGATTCAAAAATAAAAGTAACGATAAATCATCCATAGGGAAAAATTGTGATGACTCCTTAAACTTGAAATTATTACATCAAGAGATGCATTTTTACTCATTATTTATTTTTTAAAAAAGTGAACTATCTTCCTGAAGTAGAAATTATAAATATTCCCAACATTTTTTTTTTTCTTAATAAAAAAGAGAAGCTAAGGGTCTGAGTTCACGACAAGCAATGATATGGACAAACTTGTTTCACGGTTCTGTTGATTTCTTCCCTTTTGTATTCCTTAATTTCAGTTGCCCAGTGTGATGTGCTTTGCTCTTAATAGCTATTACATCATAAACCCTTGGTGTGTTCACCGAGGAAATAATTACATCCAAAATGCCCTCCAAGACTCCTGCATTTGGAGGTACAGTTTAAGTGTTCTGAGTCAAGCAGCTCTATTCTTGTTATAAAGGAAATGCCAAGAAGGGGAAAAATAAAAAACCAAAATCTAATAACCTATAGAATTTTTTTCTTCCTTCAAGCAGCATTAACATTTCCCCCCTCCAGTCTCCCAATCGGAAAAAAGAGTAACCTCTGAAGCTGATTTAGACAGAAGGTCAGAATTCAAAGGATCTGTAACTTAATCCACAGTGCGCTGCAATCACACTGCTATTGGAAACACAACCAGAAGCACCATTATTCTAGATGTTTTTATTAAGCAATGTCAATAGGTATACAACCTGGAGGTCTCTCTCTACTGTAAAGATTCCTACTTGCAGGCGATCAAGTTGCCTTGGGTCCTTGAATTTTACTTTAGAAATTGGTACAATACGAAAAAACAGACTCTG